AGGGGCTTGTCCAGGTGTCACGACTCCCTTGAAGGCACCAACTCCCACAAAACTGGGGATGGCGCAATGAGCGTTCACTACCCTATCCGTGCCAGTGAACCAGGCATTGGGAGCAATCATGCACCGTATTGCCAAGCCTGTGGCTGCCATGGCCACGGTGTTGCTTGTGTTTTTTCCAAAATCCATCGCAAATCAATCTTTTCCAGTCCCATTATCCGAGATCTTCTGAAAAGCAAAGGCAGGATTTTAATGGGGGGGGGGTGTCGCTGCACCGAAAGACGGTGCTTAGTAAATTGGATCTTTGGGAAGCAGCATTATGAAATTGCCTTGGGCAACTGGGGAGGGGGCGTTGGCTGGGTCAGCCAATTAAGCACGGAAACAGGCTGGCGACGTTCCGGTTTGCCTGCTGGCAAAGATCTTGAGGGAGTGAGAATTGCAGTCATGTCTATACAGGAGTGAGCAAACGTTTGTGTGTGTGTATGCGGGGGGGGGATCTCATACCAGAGAGATGCCTTCAGAGGATATTCTTGTTTCAGCTTGCATAAAAAGGTGTGGAGGCCCAAGCAGAGTTCTGTGGGCAGTTCACTGAGACCTTGTTGTGTTTTACCTGTTGAAAACAATTTTATTGTTTGATCCTTCCAAGTTTATTGCACCAAACAAAATTGAATCGTGGCTGAAACAAGGTTGCAATAATTACTGTAATGCAGAACAAAACTCTAGATATATGCACGCTCCTGTTCTAGTGCTTGCAGGTTTTTAATGTTTCAGCCGTAGCTATAATGGCTTTTATAATAGTATTATTTTATAAAGTTCTTTCCAGTGCCTCAAACTCAAGGCACAGCTGCTCTCTTTTCATCCTGACTGCAGGCAGCTCAGGCTGCAAGATATAGTGACGGATCCCAAATCACCTTCAAGTTTTAGGGTGTTACCTGAATCTTGTCTTTACTTAAAAATCATGTGTCTGGATTTTTAAAAAATGGAAATGCATGAAGATTTATATTCATGTTTAAAATGTATATTTCAGGAAATACTCTTATGTTCATTTTGCCCTAAAAACCCACTTTAATACATTTTAACTTGGCATATATGTTTTAAATGCATTTTAGATTTTAAAAAATGATTTAATGTGATTCATACCTGCCACAATCAACCTTTAGCTGAAAACTGTAGAATTTCTAGGTATTGAGTCAACTCCCTGAAAAAATGTGAACCAGGTGAAATGTTTGAGCATTTCAGCTATAAAGTTGTTCGATGCTACATCCTATGTACGTAGCTGATTTAATCTGCTTTAAATGCTCCACATTCTTTGTGATTTAGCTCGTTCAAGGACCAAAGTCCCAGCAAAGGATTATACTCTAGATTTTCTCAAAGGAAAACATAATTGTATTGTCAAAGGCTTTCATGGCCGGAATACATAATTGTATTATGTTGGACATCCCGGTTCAAGCTGCTTGCTAACAGAATGATTTTATAAACCTGTAAGCTGCTTTTGAAAATGACCCTTTTTCCAGGGGACTGTATGAAGAATGAAAATCCATTCAAACTCATCTCAGCATTAAAAAGGTCACAATGAAATCAGGGATTTTAATGAAGAGTATTGCAACTGTTCCAAATTAGCCAACCTAGCATAACCTCAGCACAACAAAGGGCATTCTGTTTACATTAGAGTGGGTCTTCAGATGTTGGATTCCAAGCTCCAGCCAGGCTAAGATGTGACGCTTGCTGGAAGTTGAGGTTCAGCAACATCTGGATTCACTGTTCCTGACATACATTATGTCAGCAGACTTTACAACCAGGTGTTCTCAATCCCATAATCCCTCCCAACAAGACCGATGGGAATTGGAGTCCGGGGCATTTGAAACATACTGAGTTGGGTGGACGTCTGTTGTGAAGCATTTCACACGTTAAGATGACAAGCAACATAACCTTCAGCCAGAGGGCCATTCGGCTGCTGTGGTCCAGGCAAGCTCATTACTTCTCAAGGCAACTTTCTGTCTACCCCCTCCTTAAAATTTGTTATATATATATTTGAACTTAATTTAGGACTTACATGGGGTGGGATGATGGTGATGCTGCCAAGGATTTTCCTCTTCTGTGAATGCATCTGCACGCTGTTTGGGCACTGGCTTGCTCTCACTCCTTTCTGAAAATGAAACTTGCAGGTTATAAACACCTTGTAAATGCTTTAGCTTTTTAACTGGGTGATGATTACCATTTTGCCATCTTGTTTTCTCTTTCTGTGGTTGGCTGCTTTGGGCCGGATGCACCCCGTGTACAGATGGTTTGGGGTTTTCGGTTGAAAATGTAAGCTCTTGGTGAAGGCCAGATCTGTTCTCTTCTGCCCTTCCAGCCTAAGCAGTGAGTGGGTTGGCTGTTATTGTATTGCCCCATAGCATACTCTGATTGGTGATGGGGCCGTGAGTGACTTCCAACGAGGCGGGGCTTCCTTTGGCTAGGTGGACATCCATGACTGGTTTGCATTTGCATTAGTCCATATCAATCACATCTGGCGAGATTGGTGGGTTGTATGAACTGCTCAGTAAGCAGCCTTTCTCAGGTACTCTCTTCCAGACGTGGTGGGCCAAGGTAGATGACAGCCCTTCAAACAGTCTCTCATGCCCTAGTCACTTCACGATTGGACTACTGCAATGGACTCTATGTGGGGCTGCCCTCTGTCCAAAAGCTACAGTTGGTTCAAAGTGCAGTGTCGCGAGCAGTAACTGGTGCTTCTTGTGTCATCACTGCTACGTGAGCTGCACTAGTTGCCAGTGGGTTCCAGGTGCGATTCAAAAAAAGCCCATCATGATGATCTGAGGAATCGCCTATTACCAATACTTTGTGCCCATCCTGTTGGGCAGAGTGGGTGTGCTCCAGGTTGTCTTGAGGGACGGAGGAAGTGTGCTTCTCTGTCGCTGCCCCTGCCCTCTGAACAGCCTCCCCCAGGAGATGCGGGCAGCTCCCACCCTCCAGGGGTTCTGGAAGACCCTTCAGACTTGGCTCTGTTCAGGACTGGGGTGAGGGGCCCTGCGCAACCCCCGGGGAATCTTTTTTCTGAACGTTGGAGCTGCTGTTTTAGTCTGGGCATTTGTGTGGTTTTGGTGGAGCCTTGAAAACTACGTACAGGATATTCTGTAAGCTGCCCAGAGCCTTTGTGGAGGTGGGCGATCTTAACATATATAATAAACAAAATAACCACATCCCCAGTCAGTATGGGCAGGGGGGAGGCAAGTTGGTGACCCACGGGTATCTGCTTTGATTGCATCCTGCTGCCCTAGCTGTCCCTAGGGATCTTTGGTTTCCAAATTGCCCTCTATGCCCATATTAATAGATATGCCTCCAGATGTTGCTTTGTAGTTTCTCTTGGTCCTGTGCCACCTTTAATTTTCCCTGTGGCTTTTTGAGTCCAGATTTCACTTCCTTTGTGGCTGCTGTTCCATGTGGCTCCCACTGCCACTTTTCTTCTGCGGTGATTATGTAACTCCGGCAACTCCGTTGAGCAGCTTTGAGTTGGCAACAGTTCCTCCTGCCGATTCACAGCCTTCAGGATGGGCTGAAAGGCCGATGTCCCGGGCAAGTCCTGGAGGTGGGCCAAGCTGTTTGAGACAAAGTGACGGAGGAGATGAGCAGCGTGGAGACCAAGACGTGAACGTAGACGTGTCTGCAGTTGTAGACACTCATTGACGGCTTTAACTCTTAACATAACTGACACCACGTTATATCTAGTTTTCCTTCTGCCATCCATAAGGGACTTTCTGTAGGGACACCCAACCCAGCCAGTTGGGTTGATGCACAAGGTACGTCTTTTTCCATACTGTGCCAAGCTTTGAACTTTGAAAACATTGCCAACGTGCTCTAAATGGGAATGTAAAAACTCTGCTTTTTCTGCGCTTTTTAAAGATGGCTGGCGCCCTAGTGGCACAGCATCGCTGAACACTGGCAGAGAAGGGTCGAAATGGCCAGGTTTGACCTGTGTCCTTGCAAGGAGTAAATTGGTTCTAATTAATTGCTCGGGTAAGGGAAGGCCACCTTGCTGGTGCTAAAAGTGCATTTGCCTTCCTCTTTGGCCATAAATTAGGCTTAATTACCCGGGAAGCTGTCGTTGCTGCCCTTTTTAGCCATCTGGCTGCTTAATTATGTCTCCTTGCCTGCTAGATGAAAGAGCACTGTTGCTAAAGGAATCATTACTGCCAGGCTGTGATCTGGGTGGCATTTTCTCAAAGAAAACCTGTGTGGGGCAAGCCGTGAGAACAAGCAACTCAGTGATGAAGACACCAACTTTGCTCACCTCTCTTTTGAATGGGCACAATAGCTTGTGACCTCACCTGATGCCCCTTTTCGTTTTTTTTTTCTGTATGTGATGCAGTCCAGTAGCACCAGGCCCCTGTGGGTGCATGAATATAAGTGTGCAAGGATTGTGTAAGGTTGTCCATGCTTTAAAAGGGCAATGAGGAGAAGCAGGACTTCAAGGCTGTGTTTAGGCTAACATGAAATAATGCAACCCTGTAGAGATACGGACTAGGGATAAGTCATTGCTATTGATGATGATGATCATCATCAAGCATAG